TTAAAAATTTTCTTCCGAAAATTTCACTTTAGTAAAAGAAAAAAAAAAGAATTCTATTGTTTTGATTACAGGTATTAAATACTGTTAAGTTTCAGTATATATTTTATATTATATAATTTAAACGAATTTCATTGAAATTTTAAAATTATCAACTGTGTTAAAAACATTGTTTAAGGAAGAATAGTTTTGATTTAAGAAAATATTTATTAGTGAAGTATATATATTTTATATACAAAATATATGTTTTTTGTTTACATAAAGTTATCGATTAATTATAAGCTTCATTATTTTATTATCAACAATTAATTAAATTTAAATTACTTACTGATTTTTAATAAACTATAAACAATTTTGTAAATTAGAAGCATAAAATTGTCAAATTCATAAATGTTGTTTATATTTGACGGCAGCTGTGTCTGCAATTATTAATAAAATAATTAACAATCAGTTAATTGATTCAATAATCTTTAATTGTTCTATTTTAATCCCTTAAAAGTGTTAGAAAAAAAACGTGAAGCAAACAAACTAGTCATCGATTTTATCAACAGAGTACACATGTGAAATTTAAAATTTTCCCGCCTCCAAGTTTTGTCTCTGCGTATAAATGATTGTTGGACAGTAGTGACATGGGATTCAGTTCGCTCGCAAATTATCCGCATAAATTTACTTTTATTTATTGTGATAATTCAGTAAAATGACATCAGAATTGTTATTTACAATAAATAATTGACATGAAAATTAATTTAGCATAGATTTAATAATTTTATAACAAAAAAATTGACATGTAGAAATTTAAAAAAATAAAAAATGCAATTTTTTTGAATAAATTTTTTTGTTAAATAAAATTAAAAAATTGTGAAGTGACTGGTAACTTTAATTTCATATAATTGACAGATTTTACTAAATCGCTGTTTCATGAAAAATGTTAACCAGCGGTACTTGATCTTTGTAAAAGTAATTTGGAGTTATAAATGTAATGGTAGTGTAGCAGTTACATGTATGTAATAAAAAGTTGGATTAGCCTACTTAAAAATTTGAAGTATCAATTAAAAAAAAAAATACCTTGCTTTAATTATTCATTAAAAATTAATTTATGAGTTATTGGTAAATAACTTATTTAATTAAGCACGACTTATTGTCAGTGAGGTTATGGGCTAGCTGTTATGCTATTAAGCAAAGTTAATAATTTTTTTACAAGTCAAAAATTTTTTTGTATTTAATTTTTTAATCATTAATTTAGTTTTTTTTTAATCAATTAATTAATTAATTAATCTTTATTTATTAGTTGGCATATAACAGCTGCTGATTTTTATTTTAATTTTATTTATAAAAATTTAATTTATTAATAATAAACAATTGTAAAATTGCTAAAATTAATTAACATCTGACAATTTTTAGTTTTTTAGCAAACAAATTAAGAAACATTCTTAAATAAAAAAATCCACATTTGGTAAAAGTTAAAAAAGATAATGTAAATTTTTCTCAAAATTTTTTTAGTTCTTATATTTTAATTGTTGAATGCTACCAAAAATTTGTCAGATGTCTGCTAATTTCAGTATCATAATTATAAAATTATGTTATTGCTAAAATATTAATGAATAAATAAATGAGTTCTAATTGCAGCATATAAAAAGGTGATGATATGGGCAAATGATTGAATAGTAGAGCGAAAATTAATCAGAAAAAAAAAGATGAGGAAGAAAAGAAGAAAACAGTTCCGTAGCTCTTGATTGCTGGTATTACATTTTTTTTATCCATCACTATTCTTCTTCATCTAGGCTTACTTTAGCTCATTTAAAAAATTTTTATTATTGCAGGCAAAATATTTATATTTTAGAATTTGGCGAAACAACGATAGAGCTGATCACATGTTGCAAAAATCAGAATAAAAGCCAGAGATATCAACTCATCGAAATATTTTTTACCAGAGCCTGTAAAAATTTCTAAGGGTAATTGTTTCAATTACTGCCGATATTTATTTATTTATTGCAAAATAACGCCGATCGGCAATATACATTTATAATAACAATAATATATTCCAAGTGAAATTTGAATTTAACATAAAAGAGAAATATAAATATAGATAATGAAAATGAAAATGGTGATATTTTACATGAATTAGTTATTTAATATCATATTTTTGATCTTTGTTATGAAAGCAGATAGTGAATCCTCAAATAAGTTAGTATCCTGGCAGTGACTAGACTTTTGACTAGATTTTTGAGGGGACATACATTAATTACGTGAGCTCAGAATGAGGGGGGAGGGGTCCAATGAAATCTCACCAAATCTCATCTAAGCCAAGGGGGGGGGGATAATCAAAAATCTCACCTCAACTTCAAAAAATATAAAATATTACAGACATTAAAAAAAAAATTATTTTGAGTGTTTATTTTGCCCGCTAAAATAAATTTTATGTCTATTAAAATCATTTACGCTGATGATTTAAACAAGCTCTTCTCAGAGCTAATGGTGAATTTCTTTAACATTATAATTATAATATGTATGGATAAAAAAAGTACATGAGTCTCCATGGATTGAGTAAAAATTAAAAAAAAAGTGTTGTTTTTATGTTTTTTTTTGCTTTGAATTTTATTTAATTTAAATAAATTAACTATAGTATACTTGAATGGTTTATTATTCTCCCGAATAATAAAAATAATTTTAATTTAAAATATTTTTAGCGTCAATGTCACTTAAGGGGAGGGGGGGGGGTCCAGATAAATCTCACTAAATCTCACCTAAGGGGGGGAGGAGTCTAAACTGATCGAAAAATAGCTCACGTAATTAATGGATGTCCCCTGACCATGGACCAACAAACAGCTATGTAGGTATACCATGGTCCAAGGAACAGGATAGCGGTTCTATAGAACCTATAGGTTGACCTATAGGTCAAAAATTCCCAACAAAAATATTCCAAGCAAAATATATCCCCTTTACATAAATTTCCCTTGATAAAATATCCCGCCACACAAACTTCCAAGCAGCTCGATATCACATTCGATATTAGACCAACACAAGCTTGTTATTGTGTTGCGCCTTTTTTTCATGGTTTTTGTGTATGTTTATTCGATATTAGACCAACTTAGTATATATGTCGTATACTTCAGTTTACTTAAAAAAGGTAAATATTATACGGTCGTTTGTTAGGTTGTTTTTCATAACATTCGTTATATTTTTCTACAAATAAATCTTTATTCGCTTTTATTTCTTCCATTTTTTGATATTATTAATTTTTAACTTCCCGCTAAGAAAATTGAAAATTTTTAAAAATCGGGGTTATTGGTTTTACCCATAATATTTAACTTTCTTAAGTAAACTGAAGTATACGGTAATTTTATAAAATATTCGTTACATTTTTTTTACAAGTTAATCTGTATTTGCTTTTATTCTTTCCTTTTTTTTTTTTTAATGTTATTAATTTTTTTTTCTTTATTCAACGTGCCGAAATGTATAATAAGTATTACATGAAAAGTCCAACTGTTCTACTGTTCTATGCGTCTGATTATATGTATCTTGGCTTTAAACACGAGATGCCGGCACAAAGTGGTCATTTTATGAAATACCTAGGCTGATAATGCAATTTAAATATTTTTCACTAAACGCCGACGCTTCTGAAAGTGCCTAGGTATTTCATGAAATGACGAATTTTGCGAAAAGACTACGACATATACAATACTTACACTGTTTATTTTAGATTTTTTTGTCAAAGGGATAATTCTGCCACAAGAGATTTTTGTTTTGGGATATTTTGCCATGGTATATCTTTTCGATGTGATATATTTACCGGGATATTATTTACTAGGATTTTATGACTGGACACCCTTTTTGTTGTCTTAGTCCAACAATCTATGTTGTCTTAAGCCAGGGGGGCTTGGACGGATAATTTGAAATTGTGATATCATAAATATGAATATAAATCACATAATAATTATTTTGCAAGACTTAACAACAATTTAACCTGTTACATTATTGTCCACATAATGAAAAAATTAATTTTTTTATTACCTTATTTTGTTTCATCAAAATTCGGTAATTATAAAGCTACGATTCAGCGAATAAAATTTATAATTTACAAAAAAAAAATGCAGTAGTTAATAATTGATAATTTAATTATTGTAATTAATCTCAATTAATTTAACTCATCAAATATGTCCTATGACGGTCAAAAGGCAATACAAAATTTGAATGTAATACAGAGTCTACCGTAAATTTTTTACAAATAGCAATACAATAAATCTACTATTTTGTAAATCAAAAAAAAAAAAATGTTAATTATTGGATAATTCTAAGGTTTAAAATTTACTTATTATAATTAGTAATTTGTAATAAAAACAAAAACAAACATTACCGATGTTAATCCCAATATCAATAGCAAGGTTTTTCCTAAATAATAGATCAGACACTGACGTCGATTCTATTTATATCCGAACGTTTTTTGGCAAGCGTAACATCAAGTGTTTAACCGTCAAGTTTACCTTCGAAAGTACCTGCCAAGACTGTCTCCAACTGTTGAATAGCCACTCAGCATCATACATACCAGCGGAAATATTAAAATATTGTAACTTTATTTCAAGAACATGCTCAGTATTTGATAGTTTGTCACCAGTTTAACTGCAAAAATAATTGTAAATTTAAAAAAAATTCTAGACGTAAGTTTTGTAATTTTTATTCGCTAAGTGCATGAATTTATTATTATTATAAATAATATTATTCTCCATTATATTGCGTCACTTAGATTGAATTAATGAGCCAGTCAATTTACTTGACAGTCAGCAGCATAGTTTAAGCTTATATATTATGTTAGGCTCAAATTGAGCTAGAAATTTTCTAGTAGACTGTTTTATTTCTACGCGAGTTTAATTGACATTAATTAATCATATATTTCTGGCGCTTTAAAATTATTATTTAAAATTTTTATTTAAAATGAGTTAGAGTTGACCGAAAGTTGGAGAAAGGAACGCAGTCGGAAATAATAACAAGCGTCAAGTGAAAGAGTTATGGGAGCGTCACTTATTGCCTTGTTCGTTTCAACAGTCTACATTGTCCTTACAAGTTGGCTGGCATTTTGGGCGAGGAAATATGCTAAGTTTTATACACAAAGGCCCTTTTTACGAGCGCTCTTCCTCGAAGGAATAGCCACTGCGGAACTATGCGGAGCGTGCTTTGAACTTATTATAAGTATGTATGAATATGAATAAATTATTACCTTAAAGTTTTTAAAATTATCTCATATCATTCATAAAAACAAAACAGTCGCTGACAATTGGGGAGTCTCGATGTACGCCATTTATTTGTTTGTGTTGACGATCTGGTGGTCAAAGGTCTGGGAAGACGCGACCGCTTGTCCTTACACGCACCTAGAAGAGCTTGTCGAGGGTAAAAAATCTCTTCGAGACGCTTTTCTATTAATTTGGGCCGAGCTTGTCGGCGGTCTGGCTATCTTCAGATATATTCAATTACTTTGGGCTCTGGAGATCGTTTCCACTCACAAGAACCGAGCGTTTGATGATTGCTCCACTGATTTACAAGTATTTAGACACTAAGCTGTAATTAAGAGCTTTGATTATTTTATTATTTTATTTTAATTATAAATTTATTAACAATTCATTTAGGTACCGGTCATTTTTGGAGCTATCGTCGAATGTATTGCGACATGTATTTGCCGTGTCGTTTCCCGGGGTCTCAGTGAATTAGATTCTAAGCTTGGTACTGTAATTGATGCATTTATTGGCACAACTCTCGTCGTCGCAGGTTTGTTTTAATTAATTTATTTTATTGCTTTAAACTGCTAATTTATTAACTTGACTTTGAAAATCCTGAGAAGAAATTATTAGATCTGATTATTTATAACTGAAGCCAAATATTGGCACTTATAAAAAAATTAGCTTCAAGAGAAAAAATTTTGACTGAAAAATACAATTTAAAAAAAAAAAATTTATCTTCAATCTAGCAAAAAAAATGATTGAACCAAAAAAAATTTTCTTAAATCAAGAATACTTGGCTCAAGATTTTTTTCATGGCTTAACACAATCATTTTTTTCAAAATGCCATTTATGGTTCAAGATTTCTTCTTTTGAGTCGAGTTAATTTTTTTATCGTGCAGGATCCAACCACACATAAGAAGATATATTTAATATCTTATTGTATATAACAATATATGACTATATATAATACCATCCGATTAAAATAATAATAATAATAATTAACCATTATGGTTTAAAATAACTAATATTACTGATAATTATTCAACAGTAATGATACTGATAATTAATGATGATATTTTAGTATACAATTTTATACTTCCTAATATCCATACTCAATTATAAAATAATTTTTTCAATTTTGGTAATTATTTACAAGAGGGATCAAACCTATTTTTGGCTACATCTAAGGTAAAAGACCCAGTTATTGACAATGGCCTAGTTGATTGACACTTGAAATTTTATTCTAATTAAAGAACTAAAATGTTCTCAAAAAACCAATTATCTTAAAATTTATAATTCAAAAATTATATTTATTAATTTGTTTTAATTAATTAAAATAAAATTGCAAGTGTCAATAACTAGGCTAGTGTCAATAGCTGGGTCCTTTTACCTTAGGTGGAAAATTAACATTTGAAATTTTTTTTTATTCTGCTTGTTTTTACGGCAGATTTATGGTGGTGATATCGAACATATATATATATATAAAAAATTAATATTTCGATAGCTTTTTTGCCTTCAAAAGTTGGAAAAAATTTTGGCTCTTATGTTTTTGGATAAAATTTCTATTTTATCTTTTATTGATGTTTTTGATACATTTTTTTTTTAAATACATAAAAAAACTAACAATTAAAAAAAAAAGCTGAATATCACAATTTACTCCAAAATTTATAAATTTGTAAAATTTGTTAAAATTGTGATAAT